ACTACTGACAGAACTTGCTTATGGGAAGCTGTTTCAGGAAGAAAGGGTGGGGTTACATTTGCCCGCCATTTCTTTTTTTTTTGGTTGCTGCAAATGCTTTTCACACCACAAAGGCTTTTAAAAGCCATTCAGTGTGGGAAACTGAGATGATCTTCTGTATCATTTACCTCTTGGTAACACCGCATGGAAAGCCGTAGGGACCCCCATTCTTCAGCAGAATGCACATCTAACCTTGTCATCAAATTGTCATCTACAGACAACAATCGGCGTTTGTTTTCTTTCGCACAGCTCAAACCCAGGGCTGATTGGTGAAAGGGCCTTGCCTCTAAAGGCAGTGGTTCTTCATGAGGGCAGTATTGCTAGGGAGGAACAGAACAATTACTCTTGGGTGGCTGAAAGCTTTCTGGAGTTCTTACTCCCAGAAAGTTCAATTGATGTATGCCGGTACCAAACCACATGTGCTGACCCAAGGTCAAATCAAACCAAATGCAACCCAGTGCCATGACGTCAATTCTGACTCACAGTGGGACGGGCTTTATCAAGTTTACAGGAGCAGACAGCTTCACCGAACTGCTGACCTTGTGGCTAGCCGCCCCACGGGGAACCCACTGCATCCTCATGGCTCCTTACATTGGTATCAGCACATGTGAAATCATGACACTAAAATAATGATGTTAATAATTTCTGCCAGAGGTCAGAAGGAGTGGCAAGTTTTCTTTTTTAACAAAATATATATGACTTTTAAATGAGTTTAATTCAATCCAATGGCATAGAAAAGATGCCCCAATAGACAATATCCCATTCCCACTGGCTGCCTCCCATGGGTCTGAATTATTATAGAAGTTGCTCTCTGATGACTATATCTGTCAAAAAGCCGCCAGGTTACCCCTTTCCTAGCCTTTCTCTTAGAACGACTATCTGCTTAACTTGGCTGTTCACTGTCTTCCTCTGCAGAAAAATCAGTCTCCAGGTCATGGCCTTCCTGCTTCGACATGTAAATATACGGCAGGCAGGTGCCCGGCTTCAGATGGATCGGGCTATTCTCCTCACTTTGATTCACCTTGTTCACTGAGCCACAGCCACGCGCCGTGAGTTCCAGTAAAGTGTCACCTTCATCTGAAAAACACGTATCGCACACTTGTGTTGTGTAAGGGACTGGGCTAGGGTCAGGGTGCTCGTTAGACACCTGGATCGAATAATAAGCAATATGGAAAATCCTTACCAAAACAGTTCTGATATTTAGAATGTCTGAAAAGTTAGAATCTTTCCTCTGGATATCTCAAGAGACCACTAGGAAGACTGTTTATAAAAAATGGAGAAATAGATTAGATTCAAAAAGGTGACTACAGACTGGGAAGTGCAATACATAAACATCTGTGTTAGAGAAGGGGAAGAAAACAGCTCACTGTGGAACTACTAGGAAGCGAGCTTCTAAAACCAATCCAAGTGTTTATTTATTGCTATTTTGAAACATTTGAAGAAAGATGACCACGACACAAACACCTATTTGCTGTTTTCTTATTTCTTTGCTTTTTGTGACGTCTTAGGTCTGCCGGCAGTGTTGCCTTAATGAATGAGCCTTACCATTCTCATGTTTTGTGTCAAACCTTCCTTGTTTTATTAAGCAGTGTTTAGTCACTTATCTTTTTAATCTGTGTGAGTATTCCATGTATTTTAGTCCAATAAGATTTCCTATATAAGTGCATTTCCCTTTTATCAGCATTTTAGATTCTATTCCACTGGTTAGATGAATGATACTATTATTAGATATCCCAAGTGTCCCCTGCAGATCACCTATTTCTTAAGAACCTGATAATGTTACCTCTGAAGTGGACCAGGGAGATAATATATATATATATATACCTTAGATACAGGAATGGATTTTGAGTTCACACTTAATTGTAACAATCAGTTCTTCTGATTTGGCCTCATTCAATACTTGCTCTCTTGAAGTGATCACTGAAGATATGTGTGTTACAGCAAAGTATGATGAAGGTAACAGATGGTACCTGTAGACTAGTGTCTGTGGTTTCAAAGGCTTGCATTAAAACAAGCAGCCATCTAAGTGAGGTGTCAGCTAAGTCCACAAGGAAGAAGCACACCAGCCCGTGTGAGCCAATGGCTATAAATAACTAAATCCAAGACCAGAACAGGGAGTTGTATTAATTTCTGAGCACCCAGTTTGCAGAAGGCTATGGATGGCAATGAAAGCTCCAAATCGCCTTGCAGAGTACCTACAAAGATTAAGTCTCTATTGAGCTTTCTATGACCATTGACCAGGGATATGAATGACTTTGTTTTCAGAGTGCCTTGGAAAATGGATTACTGCAGAAACGGCTTAAAAAATTTAACAAGTTACCATTTGCTTTCCTTTTGACCCATTTTCAACTGGTTCTAGTTTTTATTCTCTGCTTTCTTTTGGATTGACTTTTTTTGTTACTGGTTTTTATTGTTTGCTTGTATGATTTCCTTTATATGAAATCCAGGATAATTAAATCTATAGAGACAATAACTAGACCAGTAGCTCTTTAGGCCATGACAGCCAAGGTTGGGAAAAATGGGGAGGTAATAACAGTGGATGAGAGAATGAAGAAAATGATCCAAAATTGACTGTAGTGATGATGGTATAACTTTTTTTTGTAAATAATTTTATTGGGGGCTCTTACAGCTGTTATAATAATCCATACATCAATTGTACCAAGCACATTTATAAATATGTTGCCATCAACATTTTCAAAATATTTTCTTTCTACTTGAGCCCTTGATATCAGATCCTCTTTTCCCCCTACCTCCCTCATGATCTTTTGAAAAATTATAATTATTATTTTCATATCTTACACCGTCGGCTATCTCCCTTCGCCTATGTTTCTGTAGTTCACCCCCTGCGGGGGTTATACATCGGTTATTGTGATCGGTTCTCACTTTCTCCCCACACCTTCTCCCTGGATCCCCCTTTCTCCCTCCACCTTCCCCCTACCCTCATGGTATTGCTACTCCCATGATTGTTCCTGAGGGGGTTTATCTGTCCTGGATTCTGTGTGTTGAGAGCTCTTCTCTGTACCAGTGTACATGCTTCAGTCTAGCCGGAGTTGTAAAGTAGAACTGGGGTCATGATGGAGGTGGTGGAGGGCGGGGGGAAGAAGCATTAAAGAACTAATGCTAAAGTATTGGGCATCAAAGACAAAAAAAAAAATCATAGCATTGTGAATGAGGAGGAGTGCGGAGTGGGGCCCCAGGGCCCATCTGTGGGAAATTGGACATCCCCTTGCAGAAGGGCTGCGGGGAGAAGATGAGCCAGTCAGGGTGCAGTGTGGCAATGATGAAACATACAACTTTCCTCTGTTCTTGAATGCTTCCTCCCTGCCCCACTATCATGATCCCAATTCTACCTTGCAAGTCTGGCTAGACCAGAGGATGTACACTGGTACAGATAGGAACTTGAAACACAGGGAATCCAGGACAGATGAACCTCTCAGGACCAGTGGTGAGAGTGGCGATAGATACCAGGAGGGTAGAGGGAAGGTGAGGGAGAAAAGGGGAACAGATCACAAGGATCTACATATAACCTCCTCCCTGGGGAACAGACAACAGAAAGGTGGGTGAAGGGAGATGTTGGACGGTGTAAGATATGACAAAATAATAATAATTTATAAATTATCAGGAGTTCATGGGGGGGGGTGAGGAAGGAGGGGGAAAAATGAGGAGCTGATACCAAGGGCTCAATGTTTTGAGAATGATGAATGAAACAAATGTACTAAAGTGCTTGTCATAATGGATGTATGTAGGGATTGTGGTAAGAGTTGGATGAGCCCCCAATAAAATGATTTAAAAAAAAAAAGAACTAGAGCAGTGGTTCTCAACCTTCCTAATGCTGCAACCCTTTAATGCAGTTCTTCATGTTGTGGTGACCCCCCAACCATAAAATTATTTTTGTTGCTACTTCATAACTGTAATTTTGCTACTGTTATGAATCGGGTGACCTCTGTGAAAGGGTCATTCGACCCCCAAAGGGGTTGCGACCCACAGGTTGAGCACCGCTGAACTAGAGGAATGGTTGTGTGTTTTGTCAGTTTTACACTGCACCTTGGCTGGCTTGTCCCTTCCTGTGACCCTTCTGTGAGGGGATGCTCAATTATCTACAGATGGGCTTTGGATTTCCACTCTGACCCCCCTCATCTGCATTGATACAATTGTTTTGGGTCTTCTGATGCCTGATCCCGTCGACACCTCATACAGACTGGTGTGCTTCCTCCATGTAGGCTTTGTTAGATGGCTGCGTGTTTCACTTCAAGCCTTTAAGACCCCAGATGCTATATTTTCTAATAGCCAAGCAGATGGTACAACTCTTTTAAACTAAATTTTAACTATTGAATTGTATCATACACAAGGTGTTTGTCAATAAAAGTTAATAAAGAACTTAAAATTTTTTTTGAGTTGGTCACTTTCATCCGTGACCTTTGCCTCGTAATTGTGCAGTGGTCTTTAAAAGGCAATGCACATCACCAAGTAACTTAGGGAGCTGAGCGTGCTGAATGAATGCTTCCAGGCTGAGGCTTACAGCAGAGTGGTATGCCCCTCTGGGCATTTATTAGCAGACTTGACAGAGCTTTGTAACAGTGTTCTGATAAACAACTCACCTCCGAGCATGTCTCACTGGCATTACAACTTAACTTTGTTTTAAAAAATCCTTTAATCATGAATTTTGCCTGTGATTTCTGTGTAGCCATTGCAAGGGATATTACAACCCAGAGAAATAAAATAGAGAATACGAAAGCATTCCAGGTGCACCGACTCAAGATGCACCGGCCTTGTAGTTAAACAAAGAATGATACAAATGACAAACAAAAACTAGAGGCTAATGGTTTTGCTCCTACACTTCCTCCCATAACTCATAGTGACCCTACAGGATAGGGCAGAACTCCCTCTGTGAATTTCTGAGACTGTAACTCTCTACAGGAGTCGAAAGCAGAGCAGCTGGCAAACAGGAAAACAGGTCTTACCTGGTTGGTAGAAGTCAGGTGACAGCTCCCTGGCCACAGCTCTCGCAATATCGCACTCCTGGCGGGCGGCCAGTGCAGCTTGGTCGGCAGCATCTGCTTTTGCCCTTGCATGTGCAGTCCTGCACAGGACACAAAAGGTCAGTCAGCAAAGGTGGCACTCGAGGGATGAAGCACAAACGAGCAAACTCTGTATCAGAAGGATGCTCAGTACGATGATGGCTCAACACCTGCAATGGCAGGCTTCAGGGTCATACTGCTTTGAGCTTTTTAGGAACAGAGATACAGATGGACTCAGACCTTGGGAGAAATGAAAAACACGAACAAGATAGCCGTGCGGCCTATGCCAACCAAAGCTGGGCTTTCCAAACCTTCTGGATGAACTCTATTGACTTTGGTTGGCATTCCCTCCCAAACTTATGGGGAGCAAAAGCAAAATCTATGACTTAATATAATGCTCACGAGTTTCAGTGCTATGGTAGAAGCAGTGTAAGAACTTGATTAAAAGAGATCTGCCCTGTGGTGTGCTGGTCAATGGGCTTAGACACAAGACAGAAGCCCAATTGATAACTTTGCCAGCTGTTATCAAGTTGATTCATGGTGACCTTGTGTGTGTCAGGGTAGAACCGTGCTTCATCATTTTCGGTGGCTGGTGTGGGAGTGGACCACCAGGGCTTTGCTCTCCACTGACCCTGGGTAGACTGAGACCTGTAACCTTTCGGTAGCACGCCCTAGGTTCCCAAACCTGACTCGTCATTGGAATCACCTGGGGATCTGGAGAAATTAGATCCCCAGGCTCTCTTCCTCCTCGAGATTCTTCGGATCAATTAGGTTTTAAATGGAGACACCTCACCCCCTGCCCGCAGCACCCCGCCGACTGCCCAAAACAAAACAAAAAAACCCACCCAAACCTCTAAGTTGACTCATAGTGACCCGACAGGATAGGGCAGAACTCCCTCTGTGAATTTCTGAGACTGTAACTCTACAGGAGTCGAAAGCAGAGCAGCTGGCAATCTGAACTGCTGGCCTTTAGATTAGCAGCCCAATGCCTAACCATTAAGTTGTCCTGGCTTCGAAATGAAGCCCAGGAATCTGTAACTTCACCAGATCCTCAGATGATCCCAATGATCAGCCGAGTTTGGGAACCCAGGTAGTAGTCAGATTAACTGTTTGCACTCAGGAACGTTGTTCATTGTTGTGTGCGGTTGATTCTGGCTCTACAGAACAGGGTTTCCAAGGCTGAAATCTTTGCAGCAGATTGCTAAGGGTTTTCGTCCGTGTTGCAGCTAGTAGGTTCCAATCACTGAACTTTAATTTAGTTGGTTGCTTTAACCCTTGCACCATCAGGGCTCCTTGCTGGCTAATTTGTTGTGTGCTGTCTAGCTGGTTTTGATTCATAGCCACCCACGTACAACAGAACAAAACACTGTCAGCTCCTCAGCCATCTGCACAATTGTCGCTATGTTAGAGCCCATTGTTGGCAGCCATTGTGTCCATCCATCTTGCCGATGGTCTTTTTAACTTTTGCTGACTCTACCAAGCATGATCTTCTTCTCCAGTGACTCGTTCCTCCTGATGACACAGCCCAAGTAAGAGAGACAAAGGTTCACCGTTCTCATTTCTTAGGAATATTTTGCCTGTACTTCTTCCAAGATAGACTTGGCTACTTTTCTGACAGTTCATGGTTTACTTACTATTTTTGGTCAACAATGTAATTCAAGGGCATTTGTTCTTCTTTGATCTTCATTATTCACTGCACAGCTTTTGTGTGCTTATGAAGAAGCTGAAACCACTACAGTGGGTCAATCACAATCTCTGAAGCGGTAGTTTTGCTCAATTTTTTGCAGCAGATTTGTTCAATAAGTCATTTAAATCCCGATTGCTGCTTCCATGGGCACCAATTATGGACCCAAATAAAATGAAATTCTTGACAACCTCACTATGTTCTCCATTTATTATGCTGTTTATCGGTCACGAGAATTTTTATGTTAAGATATAATCCAAATTGAAGGCTCTACTCTTTTGAGTTTTATCAGTAAGTGCTTCAAATCCTCCTGGCTTTCAGCAAGCAAGGTACGTCATCTGCAAATTGCAGGGTGGCTACGAAGTCCTCCTCCAGTCCTGATGTTATATTCTTCATACAGTCCAGCATCTCAGATTCTTTGTTCAGCATACAGATTGAGTATGGTGAAAGAAAACAATCTTGGTGCATACTGTATCTGATTTGTAACCATGCAATATACCCTTGTTCAGTTCAAACAACTGACTCTTAGTCTATGTCTGGTTTCCATATGAGCACAGCTACGTGTTCTGGAGTTCCTGTTATTTGCAGTGCTGTCTATCATTTGTTATGACCCTTTCCATGGCCAGGTAAACAACTTTCTGGTGTTCTCTTGCTTTGGTAAAGAAGCGTCTGATATTAGCAACACTGTACTTCACTCCATGTCCTCTTTGGAATCCAGTGTGAATTTCTGTTCCCGGTCAATATATTCTGCCATTATTTTTTGAATTATTTTCAGCAAAATTTGTTTGTTATATTAATGAACTGTTTGATAATTTACACATTCTGTTAGATCACTTTTCTTTGAATTGGGCACCAGTAAGGTTCACTTCCAGTTGGATGGTCAGGGAGCTATCTTCCAATTTTCTTGGCATAGATGTGTGAGTAAGCAAATCCAGTATTGCACCCATTTGTTGAAACATTTCAACTGATCTTCTATCAATTGCTGGAGCCTGGCTTTATGCTGATGCATTCAATACAGATTGGTGTTCTTTCTTAAATACCACCATTCTTGATCATATGCGGCTTCCTAAAAAGGCTGAACATTGACTGATTCTTGGTACTTTGTGTATCATCTTGTATTGATACTTCCGGTGTCATTCAGCATTTTGGCCATAGAATGTTTCAATGCTGCAACCCAAGGTTTGGATATTTTCTTTAGTTCCTCAGCTTAAGAACTGCCTGTTTTCTTTTGGCTTAACTACAGGTCTTGGCATAGTTCATTATAACACTACACAATCCTACATTTTCTGTTTAGCCCCTTTACTTCGTCTTTTCTTTGCTTTAGCTACTCAATGTCCAAGAACAAGTTTCAGAGTTTCTTCTGATACCTATTCTAGTCTTTTCTTGCTTTCTTGTGTCCTTTATGGTGTCTTCACTTCTGATGTTCTTGATGTCATCCCCAAACCTGTCTGGTGTTGGAGGCATAAAATCTATTCTTGAGATGGTCTCTAAATTTAGGTAGGATATATGCAAGGTCCTCTTGGACCTGTTTTAATTTTCTTCAACTTCAACTTGAACTTGCATATGAACAACTAATTGTGCATTCTGAAGTCTGTTCCTGACCTTGTTTTGATTGTATTGAGTTTCTTTATTGTCTCTACAGATGTTGTCTGATTACCATGGTGTAAATAGTCCCACCATGATAGATTTCAACTTATCATACTTGTGCTATTAAGCAAAAGAGTTGTGAAGGGAGTACTTAATAGGCTTTAACCATCCTATAGGAGCAGGCTTTAGCACACTGCTGCATGTCCTGAGCACATGCTGAGGAGGGCCACTAAGCAGTGTACTTGACTGATCTTGTACAAAACCAAAAGGAACCAGGCAGAGCTGGCTTTTTCAGTCTTTCATCCTTTCTTGGCCCATCTTCACTCATTCAAACATTTTATCCACCTGGAGGACAAGGGTTAGGAAGAGAGCAGTAGGGAAAAGAAAGGATCCTCTTATGACAGTGGTTCTCAACCTGTGGGCCGTGACCCCTTTTGGGGGTCGAACAACCCTTTCATAGGGGTCGCCTGATTCATAACAGTAGCAAAATTACAGTTATGAAGTAACAACGAAAATAATTTTATGGTTGGGGGGGTTACCACAACATGAGAAACTGTATTAAAGGGTCACGGTATTAGGAAGGTTGAGGCCCACTGTCTTTTTTTTTTTTTTAATCATTTTATTGGGGGCTCATACAACTCTTATCACAATCTATACATACATCAATAGTATAAAGCACATTTGTACATTCGTTGCCCTCATCATTCTCAAAACATTTGCTCTCCACATAAGCCCCTGGAGACCCACTGTCTTATGATAAAAGAAGAGAGGCTTTTAAAAAAAAATCATTTTATTAGGGGCTCATACAACTCTTATCACAATCCATACACACATCAATTGTGTAAAGCGCATTTGTACATTCATTGACCTCATCGTTCTCAAAACATTTTCTCTCCACTTAAATCCCCGGGAAGAGAGGCTTTATATGTGGATTAAGTGCCAATAAAACTGTTTTAAAAAAAAAAAGGACATGTACAGAAAAACAAGAGAATTTTAGGCTAACCATTTCCAAAAGGAAAGACTTTGTTCAATTACCATTCAGATGATAATTGTGGGCATCTATTTCTTATAACTTTATAAATCCTCTATTATACCTTTGAGTGCTGGGGAGGATTATAGGAACTTTGCAATACAAAGTCTGGAAGAGTTGTCTGAACTTATTTCAGACACAGGTGAGAGGAGAATTTCAGAAATGGCATTGAGCTCTAGCCGGTCTAGGTGGAGAGCACTTAGCCCAGGTGGCAGCTGCAGGCAGCCAGCAAACTGAATGCCTGGGACTGCAGGGAAAGAATGCGGGAGAAGTTGACCAGGGGCCTGTGGGGCTAACTGGTAGGAGGCTCCATTCACGACATTTTCCAACTCTCTCAACTGGGCTCGTTTCACTCCTACTCAGACCAAGTTGAACTTAGAGAGGGCTTCATGATCATTTGCACTTAAAAATTTTTGATCCTCTGCCATATTCCCAATGCCTAGAGCAACTATGTGTAATGTACAGGATATACAGTTATGCACAGGACATACAGTATTTAGTGAAGGCCCACTTGGTGAATACAGGATTTGAACAGCTAGGTAGTTGCTAAAAAATAAATGGATCAATGTTCAAACATCACACTATTTCTGAATCATGGAGCATGTTGTAGGTGGGTCTTTGCCGACAGATTGTTGGCCACAAAAGGACTGGGTGTGAAATGGTACAGAAATCAAGAGGGGAAGAGCACATTCCTAAGTGACAGGCTGTATGCAGTAGCCCAGACATGGATGGCTATGACCTTGGTAAGAGAAGATGCTTTA